TCCCTTCTTGAATACGGGTACAATAACACCCGTTCTCCAGTCCGCTGGTGTCTTTCCCGCAGTCATCGCATAGACACGTGTTAGCCAGCACATGCATTGTTCGCCTAATGCCTTGAGCATCTCAAGGCGGATTTCGTCAATTCCTGCAGCTTTTCCATTTTTCAGGCCTTTCACAGCTTGTGTAATTTCATCTACAGAGATATTAATATCCGTACCTTTCTGCTCTACAGACGAGTTTTCCTGCGATTGCTCAGGGTTAAGGTGTTCCTCATAGTACTTTCTCCATCGCCCAAGAATGTCATCATCCTTAGTAAGAGGATGGCCAGGATGTCTTTCAAGACTCTGAGATTGCACTTGTTTTCACCTCGGAGCCGGCGGATGGTCTGCCAGATTACCTTGTTTTCCGACTGGAAGTTCGAATCACTCCACCGAACTTCTCCCAGCAATGATCTTTGGCTTTCTCCACTACTTCTACAGTCCGCATGCGAGTTTAGGTAGATCCAAGCCATCTCATAATTGCAGCCTTCTTCTCTGTGACAATCAGTTGAACCTCTCATGTCCAAGGGGAAGTTTTCTCCTGCTCTCCAGGCGGTAGCCTGATTAAGACTCTGTTTCCTCATAAGTGTTCATCACTGGAATCTGTTCAAATCGTCGTGGGATGTTGTTTGCAATTTTCATCACGTGTCCGCGGAGAATTATGTTTCCCATTTGATTCTCTTATTTTTTCTGCCTCGAGATCTTCTCATGGTCTCTCACGGCGTAATGTTTTAACAACAAGATGATGATAAATTGACAGCTCTGCGCTTCTCTTAGCTCGAACATCTGTTACAGAGGGTCTTCTGAGGTGGACTGAAGGATGCTGGTGAAATCTTTGTCAAGCTTTAAAATTCTTATTTGTTGTGGATGATATGAAGGTACGCTTAAGAAACGGTTGTAACCGGTAAAAGCCTAGTAACGAGTCTAAAACCATGGCAGAAGTTAAGGAAATATTTTGAGTTCCTCTGGCGAATATAAACTATTAAACTCATGACTTGTAGAACTACTTAGCCTTCTTATATAGCAAACCGACGAAATATTGTCTGAGTTGAATGTAGAAATTCGCCAACCGTTCTTCAAGGAAAAATCGTGACATTAACCCTAATGCCATTTACCCAAACTTGTAGTTGAGGTATATTGTTACAAGTTGGATATGCGGAAAGTACCTCAAAACTTTAGCATGAAAATTAAACCATTCGGTAATTTTTCTTTTATGCTATTGTGGAGAACTTGGCTTCTTTTTTAATGATGATCATCAAAGATCTTTGAAACAGCAGATAGTTCTAATTAAACAAGGCGAACTATAAGTTTTTTGAATGCGACAATTTTAGTTCGTCATCGAGCCGATTTGCCATGTTCGGTTGAAAGCGGGGACACTGTGGCAGACAAGTGCAGATGTTTATGGAAGGCCGTGGAAACCATTACGAACATGATCTCGGAAGAGCGTATTCTGAGCAACAGGATGACTTCCACTGTGCAAGAGCTGACACTAGAAAATCAGTCGTTAGCCGTGCGTCAAAATTTTTCTAATTTTTTCCATCATTGCAGTGAAGTTAATGTAGCCTCTGACATAAATTTTAATTGTGGTTCTGACGTTTATTCGGCGTTGTAATGTGTCAGTTATTTAATTTTTTTCTAATCATTAAATAATCATGAAATGTTTATTTCAGCCTCATTTGCCAGCTAACTTCAGCGGTCTTGAATGATGATAAAAACAAGCGTTTTCTAATTTGTGAAGTGCATTCATAACCGGATATGGTAGTATGATAATGTATTTAAGATATATCTATATGTGGTTTCAAAAAACGTTTCTTCGTTTATTAGTGAGATAAAGTCCATCATGGTTTTCAAGACTTGAAGTCATGAAGAAGGTATAGGGTAGAGTATTTCGACAATACCGTGCAAATGCGTACATCGCTATACCTAATAGGATCAATACTGGTTTGTTCAAATACTTTACTTTTCATTGGTATCTTTAAAATTAAAACATCATTGAAAACTACCATGCATTTAACTTCACATCTACATATTTAGCCTTGTAAGTGGCTAAGTATGCATTAATTTGAGTCCATGCAATTTTTAATTGTTCTTTACTGAGGAGTAAATGACCGCAGAGCTGCCACAAGTGCTATTTTAATGCAACAGGTTGTGAGATTTGATTACCCTAAAGTCGATGATTTATTACGCCGAATCTCTCTAACAATGATGATGGGCTGTGTGTTCGAGTATATTGCCAAAAACGGTGGTCGAAATATCGTATTTATTGCATTTTGCAGTTTGGAGCTTGCTGAGCTAAATTTAACTTTTTGTTTTTGATTCATTGATATGACTGTATGAAAGCAAGAACTGAAGTAAAATATTTACTGCATTTCTGTGGGTAACCTAAATTTCTTCCCTTCATCCAGGTAATCACATAAATGTAGCAGAATTGATGTTCGGTGTCTTGTTTAAGCATGTTGTTGGGTAAAACCAGTTTTTCATTGTAACTGAAAGTAAAGAAGCTGATTGCGTTCCGTTTCTACGTAAAGCAGCGAGTAGCGTTTGAAATGACAGCCAATTACTATGGATTATTAAGAACGACGTTTATCGGGGTACCGGATTGTCAATGTTTGCAGCAGAACGTTTTGCCAGTTCAGTACTAGTTTCTTTGATAATCAAACTTGACGTTAGCAGAAGCATTTTACCCTGTGCTCGTAGTTGTCAGCAAAGACTAACAGAATTTGATTAACTGACTAGGCAGAGTTTATGCTGCCAGACCATCAGAAACGTTCTCTTGGATAATATGAGGTAGCCTCCGCTTCTTCGCGCTTAATGTGAACTAACGATGTCATTAATGGCTTAAAATCAACCAGCTGTAGTTTACATCGCTACTGAAGCGGGAAATTACTGTTGCTCGTCATTGTTTACGCCGCTTCGCAAATCTTCAGTAGGCTTACTGGACCATTCCATGGTATTTCAACACCTGCAGACCGTTGATG